CCCGGACTTCCTTTCAGCAGATCCAATCATGCCTCTATTCTGCTACTTACCGTTTACAAGTAGAAGCTTAAACAGGAGAGGCCAGCGTTAAGAATCATTCATCGTTGGTTGGATGAATCGGATTTTATATTAAATCAATGTTTTGCTACCACTGATTGGCAGATGTTCCGCGAAGGTGCTGGAAATAATATCAATCTGTATATGGACTATGTTACTGGCTACATCAGTAAATGCATTGAAGATGTGGTTCCCAGGATTACTGTTCCCACATATCCAAATCAGAAACCACGGGTAAATGGCGAGATACGTGCCAAACTTAAAGCTAAGACAGTTGCTTTCAATTCTGGTGATAGGGATAAATACAAAAAATCCCGATACGACCTCAGGAAAGCTATCAAAATAGCTAAATACAACTACAGAGTAAAATTTGAGTCATATTATCATGGCTGCAACACATGGAACATGTGGAGTGGTATGCACACCATTACAGACTAAAAAACGCAACCCAGCTATATTGCACAACAGTCTGCTTCTCTTCCTGATGAGCTAAATTCATTCTATGCTCGGTTTGAGGTCAGTAACGCAGATCCAGTCAGGAAGATTCCAGAAATCCAAGACGGAAACCCACTGATCATATCCAGAGCAGATGTGTATAAAGTTTTTAAATAGACCGATCCACGCAAGGATCCCTGATGCTATCCCTGGCCATGTTCTGAAGGCATGCGCAGGCCAGCAGGCAGATTACAGCTCAGATTTCAATATCATAGTGTCCTCAAGCCTTGTCATCAAGCTCCAGGACTTGGGACTTAACTTGGGACTTAACACCTCCATCTGTAATTGTGTCCTGGACTTCTTGATGGAACGTCCGCAGGTGGTGAGGGTGGGCACCAACATATCCTCTACCCTGACTCTAAACACTGGATCCCCCCAAGGCTGTGTACTTAGCCCTGTCCTCTACTCCTTATTTACCCATGATTGCCAGGCATAACTCAAACTCCATCATTAAGTTTGCAGACGAAACAACAGTCATCGGCCTGATCACAGATGGTGAAGAGTCTGCGTACAGGGAGGAATTTGAAACCCTGGCAGCATGGTGCCAGGAGAACAATCTCTCTCTGAGCATCAGTAAGACTAAGGAGATGATTGTGGACTATAGGAAACACCAGGGAGGAGATCACACACCTATCTATATCAATGGAACTGCAGTGGAGAGGGTCAGCAGTTTTAAGCTGCTGGGAGTTAACATCTCAGAGGACTTAACCTGGACCCACCACACCAACACCATGGTCAAAACAGCACAGCAGCACCTATTCTTTCTCTGCAGGCTAAAGAAGTTCAGCATGCCGTCACATATCCAGGCCAGCTTCTACAGGTGCCCTATTGAGAGCATCCTGACTTGTTGCATCACTGCCTGGTTTGGGAGCTGCTCTGCCCGGGATCGTAAAGTACTACAGAGGGTGGTGAAGTCAGCACAGCTCATTACCGGCTGTGAGCTACAAAACTTCCAGGATATCTACTCAGCTAGATGTCTTAAGAAGGCCAGGTCCATTCTCAAGGACCCCAGTCACCCCAGTTACAGACTGTTTTCTCCCCTACCGTCTGGTAAATGGTACCGAAGCATTCAGTCAAATTCCAACAGATTACGAAACAGCTTCTACCTCCAGGATATAAGACTACTATACAGCCAACCTGCAGCTCCTTTAGCAAATCACCCGTAATGGCTACATGGACATACAGTTGTCACTGTATTCAGCATACTGCACTACTTGGACATAATATATTGCATACATCATGGACACATAGCAGCAGTATTTATATTGAGTTTTATTCAATTTCTATTTCTCTTTGACACTTTCTTTAGTCATAGAGGTGGGAAGGCGCCGACCTCTTCTCTGACTGAACTCAGTGGGTGGTGCGCTGTTTTCTCAATCACCTGCTAATTTGTTTCACACCACAGGAAGACAGGAAAAAGTAATTGTACTGTATCTGTACGAAATGCGTGTTGCGTTTACGAAATTAAAGTGTTTAAGATGTTTAATTAAAAAGTTTTAAAAAACTTACAGCTTACACAAAGATTCTAAGATGATTTTGTGTTTTTTAACTAAACCCATTTTTATGGGTTTTAAAACCATGCAATATCTATTTGAGGCACATATGTTATTGTTTCCTATTTTTGATTTTCTTAAAATTTAAAAAATCAGTTACCTATCAGGCCGCACAATATTATGTTACATTTTTTAGGTTTTAGAGACACTTCAGAAGACTCCAACTGATGCATAAAAAATACAGCATAGTGCCTTCTCGCGTTATGAAGTCACTTGCACCTGGGATCTGCTTTATTCAAACTAAAGTTTCTAAAAATGCAACCAGGTACTAATTATTGTTTAAATAAAAGCTGTGAAATTTTTCACAAATCGCGATCTTTAAAACTGTAGGTTGCAGGCTCTGTGTCATTTTTGTCCTACTTACCTGGCAGGGGCAACACCATGATCACGCAGGTGGTTTGCCCGGGGCGAGGCGCAGCCACTGCACTCTGGCTGTGCTGACCCCTGCGAGTTCCCCTACTGTGGGAATCTCGACTGCACAATTTCTGCTCCAGGGGGACTGCGTCCGTGCTCTCTTTTCATCAATTTGGGATCAATAAAGTCTATTTCTCTATTTGTTCACAAAGTTATTGACATTCTGAAACATCATGTCTCATAAATAGGTATTTTAATAACCAAAGCTTATGAAAAATAAAAAAATGACTTTGAAAAAGATACAAGCTTGAAATTATTTTTATTGAATTAATACTGTTAATAATGGCCAGACACATTATTATAGTTTCAGCGGTATTTTTAATACCACTTTGTTATTCTTGATTCTAATTACAATATATATGATTTTGCTTTAAGGTTTGAGGTGTCGGTTTAATTACCCCACTGAGTAAAATGTTTTGAATTCAATCGGTTGAACAGTTGGCAGTATTCACGTTTGCTAATTCACAATTTTATTTCATTATTAATATAAATTAACATTGAATGTGTTATAATATATATTAAAAAAACATTCATATAGTGTACATAATACTTCATCATGCGTGAATGTGTCAAATTAAAAATAAAACATGTTTACAAAACAGAAAGTAGATTACAATAATACTACCAGCTATATAAAGACATATTTTTAGATAATTCAATTAATATAGTTATTAATTTCTTTAGATAAGAAATTCCTTATTATATTCTTTATTTAGCAGATTCTAAAATGTATGAGGCTTTTTACTGCAATAACAAGCACAGGTATTCATATAAAAGGTTAAAACATGGAATACAGAGGCAGTTTCAGAAATTAAACAGAGGTCTGGAACCCATTACACCAACGCACTGCTTGACAACTAAAGCTATAACTGAACAGGGCAGTCAAAAAATTTCCTAGCAATCATGAGTCAAATAGATACAGATGTTTACAAAGAAAGTGTACTACTGTGATAATTTGAGCTATATGTATATAATTATATCGTTATTAATTTCTTTAGATGCACGATTCCATTATTATATTATATTATATTATATTATATTATATTATATTATATTATATTATATTACCTATTAATCAGACTCTAAAAAGTATGTGTTTCTTTTACTGTGATAACGAGCGCAAGTATTCATAGAAAAAGTTATCACTTAACTCACTTAACTTTGAACGTGTTGTGATATTTAGACAGACCAACAAATTCAATATAGTGTGGATAATATTTACTATTTTAGTTTTTCAAATTCATATTTATTTGTTTAAGAAAATGCATGATGAGAGCTAGGTTCAAAGCCCCTAGCTCTTCATCAATGTGCCGCTGAACATTTTAAGCTATAACTGAACAGGGCAGTCAAAAAGTTCCCAAGTAATGGCGGGTGAATGATTCAATTGATGCAGATGTTTACAAAGAAAGTGTGCTGCTGTGATAATTTGAGATACTGTATATGAATATAATTATATAGTTATTAATTTCTTTAGATACGCAATTCCATATTATATTCCCTATGAATCCAATTCTAAAAAGTATGCGTTAGTTTTACTGCAATAACAAGTGCAAATATACATAGAAAAGGTTAAAACATTATAACTTTTTATGACGTATATAAACTTAATTTAGTCAAAAGGAGCATGTAAAAACCTTTCCAAAATAACCCCAGTACGTAACTAAATGAAAGGCTTTGATGCTTAAAATGTTTAGGAGGAAAGTGGAATATTGGTGTGTATTTTTTTATTTAAACTACCAATACCAGCCATATACAGTTTACATAATATGTTTATGTTCCCAAATTAATATAGTTTATGACCTTCAGATGCGTTATGCTCCTCTTTTTTTTATACTGAGCTACAAAAATGTCCCTTTAGTTGTAAAATTCCATATTAATATTCAATATTAAGCAGATTAAAACATACACAGTAAAGACATTAAATGAAGCAATCATTTCACTAACATCAAATGCACCACGAGTGCCCCTGTCAGTCATTTTGGCCATTTTGCTGCGGTGAATGTGGTGAACTGTTCACGTGGTGAACTGTAGATAATTCTAAGCGGTACAGGGTTGTACCATGCATTTTGAATGGCTGCATCTGTAAATGTTAATGTGCCTGTTCTGTTAGCACGATTTTTTACTATTTAATGATCCCTGATATAGATTTAGAAGGTGTTGATGCAGTACAACACTCTAGTAACTAAGGCTTCAATCGAGTGTTTTAAGTAAGAAATATCTGTAGCATTTTCACCTCAGCAAATTAAAAAAAAAATGAATGTCCTTGTTGCTAGAGGAACAGCTTGTTAAAAATGAAGTGATCGAACTTACATGTAACAGTTTTTTTTTCCTATGAGAAAAGCAAGTGGTGTAGTTTCTGCTCATTCTCCAATGAAGACTTGCAATGAAGGTTATGCTTTGGAAACTATATAAGAAACCAGATGAGGACCATTAGCCTAATCATTTGTGACTGATTGCACTTCTGTCACTTCTCTTTCACAGGTGGATGCCCATGGAAATATTCTACTTACCACCCTCGAAATTAGAAATGAGGTCAGTGGCTCAGAAGTGTTGACAGGCCTTAATGACCCGCGAGCCACAATGTTTTCCTATGACAGTGCCAGCATCCAGTACAGGAAACCAATAACAAGTCGGGATATCTATGGAAGAAGTGCTGCTGAGAGACATATGGTGCACAAGAAGGGGCGCTTACGGAGGAGGGCGTCTCAGCTGAAAATTAAGATACCTGACTTGACTGACGTTAATGCCATAGACAAATGGTCCAGGGTTATTTTCCCTATCACATTTACTTTTTTTAATGTTGTGTACTGGCTTTATTATGTCCATTAGTGTGGTTACATTATTCACTTCAACTACAGTAGATGTTTTAGTTTTTCAGATGGTTTCATTTATGTATGGTCCCTAAAGGATTGCAGTAAATTAAATTAAATTGCTAAGTCGAGGTAAGGTATTCAGTCACTACTTTCTCTGTATGTGTACACAGTAGGTATCAGCTGAAGATGGAGGATGTGAAATAATTGTTTTTATTATTGACACTACTTTGAATATATACATTTAGAAACAACACTCACATAATTCCTATAGCATTTGCTTCCAATAGTATCCTCCCATATAAAATAGTATAGTGTTATGTAGTACTGCTAAATGTATAGACTCTTGTCTTCTCTTGTGAATCTTGTGTTACACCAAAACACTACAGAATACTCTAATATTTTGTATGGGAAGCTATATTTTCACATTTAATGTTCATGTTTTTGCATTGAATTAAATATTTTATTTTAATATATAGTTTTAGTTAAAATATTATTATTATTATTATTATTATTATTATTATTATTATTATTATTATTATTATTATAAAATGAAAGGACTAGGAATCTGAGGCTCAGCTTTCTGTCAGCATATTGTGGGTAAGTTGCCTGCTTCATTTAATATGGCATGGACCATTTGCCCATAGGGAAAATAAGAGCCTTAGTGTTTTGTGTAACCAATGTCCTGTGAACAGACAATCCTAGTTAATTTTAGATTTAGCCTCATCTTAAGCAAGGCCTGCTTTTTACAAGGCTATTATGTATAATATGATAAAACAGCTTTGTGTTCATTTTATAGGCTAGATGCATGTGACTATACATCCTTTTTAAATTGAAATATTGAGCCTGCAGTTTGTTTTTATATTTTCTCAGTCCAAAGCTTGTGTGATTAGCAAGGTTCATTTCAGGAGCCTAATTTGCATAATAATAATGGGCTTTTGTGTTTTCAAATCTCAAGTTAATAGTACTATTTAGATGTAGATAGAATAATATTAATTTGAGTCTTCTGATATCAAATGAAATCTGTGAAAGTTGTATATTTCCTTACATATATGAGCATATGTAATTTTCTTTAAAGGAAATCAGGTATAGACTGATTTGAGACTTCATATATTAAAAACCTTGTATTAATCCTTTTAGTACATACTTGTTTGAAATGGATCCCTCTTAAATCAATTCACTTTAAAAGAGGAATCAGCAATGTAGAAGCTCATGATTTATTGTGATATTCTTTGGGCAAAAGTTCAACAAGCCACTAAAGCTTCTTGCTATCCATTAATCTTTTGAAATTCAGGACTAGACACCCTAATGCTTGTATGTGATTTTTTATCATTAAGGCTGGATTTCTTCCAGATGGAAATACCTCAAGATGTCCTCTTTGTCTTATAATATATGACTAGGTTGTGGCTACAATTTTAAAATTCAATCAAAAGCATTATACCACTGTTATTGTATTGATTAGCTGCATATCTTTCATTTAAACTTCTATTTGTTTTAATTTATGTAGTCCTCTTGTAAATGATGGGATACCATGGACATTAGTGTATGTGTTATCAGGGTTTGCATAAAATAAACAACAGGAGAAAAAATAATTTCACTGGACACATGAACTGCCAGCTCTCTTTCTCATGGCTGAATATTGTGCCTTTAATCAAGAGTCTAAATATTTTCACAGGGTTAATCTTCTAGCTGCTGGTATGTAGAATTTCAAAGGATACACTTATAATTTTATAAAGGTATAATAGAAAAAAGGTACCATTTCACAACTTTTACGCTCTATACAGTAGTTATCAGACATTCCAGTATTATGGTGACAATCTGTAAATATGATGACAATAACAACACAAAAGAGATCTCTGCAGGTTTGTTTTCAACCAGAAAGCATTTAAGAGAAAATTCTATGGAACTACATGTTCTTCCTTCTGCATTGAAGAGACTTCAACTAAATAAAGCCTTTAAGTGGATGAAAATATAATTTGCCATGACATTAACGTCAGTGGGTTATATTTGCAGGTTTGCTTTTACAACACATAAAAGGGACTATTTGGAGGCTTATCTAATTTTATTCTCTCTGTTAATCTGCTGTAAAGATGCACCTCTGTTTCTTTTGTATTTATCCATAAGTGTGGGTATGTGTACACACATGTATACACTAAGACTATTTTGTGTGAAGCATAAATGTGGTCCAAAAAATGATATACTGTACAGTACAAAGCCAATCAAAGATTTCAGGAAACTGCTTCTGTAACTTATTGAATGTAATAGAGGTGTCTCAGATATTCATTACAAAAACGTCTTCTGAGAGACTACAGTGTTGAAGACTACAAAGAATGTTTACATTTGCCAAACATATTGTAAAAAATCTTTAAATATACATAAATATTTTATCTATATTTGTTGTCCTGGTACCATATATTTGATCACCTGTTTTAGCTGTTTAAGTGAGATTTAAATTAATTGATGGCTATTAATTTTGTACTGCAATTCTGATGTTGAATTTGAATTTGTACTATTATAGCCTTTTTATTTTATTCTTTAAAAGTGACTCTACACCTAGAGGTATTGCTTTCACAGAATAATTAATACCATTATTATATAATAATTTCCTAATCCACACCACACCAACTCATCAAGCCAGAGTTTATTTCGGGTTCCAAGACACGGAACCTAATATTTGTCTTTCTAATATTTGACCAGTGTCTGGTTAGGACACTGATCAATGACAGGAATTAGCAAACTCAACAATTACTATTATTTGTATTATTTAAGAATATAAGGACATAACTAAATTGCTAATGAGAAATGGTCATTCTGCTCATCTAGATCTTCAATTTTAGAAAAGCTCTTTTAATTTCTAACAAAAAATGCAAAATGCTATATTTCTATAAATCTATAAATCAGAAAGGAGAAAAAGAATGTTTAATTGTATTCATTTTCCAATTTTATTAAATATGTGTATGTAATGGTATAGTCACTTTAAGGTGGATGGGTATGGAAGAAGTGACATTATATTTCTGTATCCATATAATTACTAATACTAATTACTAATGTACTGCATTATTTATTTTTTACTGTGATTGTTATTATTTGGATTTCTAATATGAGTAATGTAAGGGAGAGTCGTCTCCTATCATTTCAATATTTGCCACTTCATGCGGTACTTTTCAAAATCTTCTTACTTAGTAAAAATCATCAGGTTTAAAGTTAAAAGCAAGAGAATCAATGCAGCTGTATTTTGTAAATACTGTACATATTTTACAGAACAAAAGTCATATCATAAAATGTTTGCTGCAGTTCTTTATATTTTGTATTTGTGTTCAAACATCTGTAAATAAAATATATATATATAAGAACTTTGTTATAGCACTGTTCTAACCAAATTTAATTTTTTACTTAACTTGTTTCTTTGAACATATGTACTTGCAGTTCTAAAGGTATTATGTTATATTTTTGTGTGAAAAGCATTGCCGTCATTGCTGGTACGGATTATTGCTCAAACCTTTTCACTTTGCGATCTGAAACCAGGTTTCAAGAATTATGAGGTTATGAGGTTATGAGTAATATCTTCAGTTTAAAAAAATCAGACAATAAAAATGTCAGACCTTCTTTTAAACTTCAATAGTACTATATAATGCTACAATCTATGTACAGATATATTAAAAGTGACCTGCATCCTTAAAGATCTTCTCGTATTTTTCTACATTGACTTTGAAATGGTGTTATTAAACAAATGTTAAGGAGGTCAAATTCCAGTCTCACACTTCTGTTCTCCTACATACTTGCTGCCCATAATCCCACAAGCACCCCTCCTTCCTCCTCAGCTGCACCATTGCAGCAACCTGGCTCATTCCTTAACTCAGGCAAGTTATTGCCAAACAGTACAATATTAAGGTTACTATCCCTTTATATTCATTGTCCCTGTAAGTCTTAATTATTAAGTGACCAAACTATTGAAAAATACATATAACAAATCATATACCATTATGGGGTCTGTTATGAAAAAATGAAAGCAGGATTTGACACACATTTAAACACATGATTTTAATTAATACCTTAATTATTCTTATAGAACTAGGAGTTCACTTTCTTTTTCACATCTTGTACTTTAGTGGACTAAGTCCATTTTGTTTAATTCATACATCATTTTGTTTCAAGAAACATGGTATTAGTTATTTTAAACTCTATTGTATATTTACATACAAATGGTCAGGAAAGCTATTACAGTAAAACTATGAAATTTCCAGGATTATCTTTGGGGTTCACAAACTTTGTCTCGACACTGTACTGGTATTAAGACATTAATTTAACATCACAGCATCATTCAAATAATATACTGACAAGCTGTCTTTTTATTGTGTCAATTGTAAACCAACAGCACAAATAGCAGAGCTAATGTACAGTAGCTACCATTGACCACATATGTTGTTGTGTGGCAAAAGAAAGATAGGGCTCACAAAACTCCCATCTGTCCAACCTCAGCAGCACTCATTCAATTCTTACTTGCTTGTTAATGATTGTCGGTCATGGATGGCTGATGACGAATCCTGTTTCAAACCACCTTTGGATGTTCGGCCATATTCTGCAAACATCTTTGCCAACTGAGCTAATCAATTGACCCTCCTTTAGTTTTCTGGTACTATTTTAAATACAAAATAAATTAGAAAAATAATTTGTTTTCTTTTCACTGGACCTACACAGTAATTTTAAATACATTAAACACTTCCAAAGCTCTCATTTAGTCACAGGAAATTAAAGAGCTGGGCAAGTTTCCAGCTCCTCTGTAATCCAGCAAACATTGAGATGAAAAACATTATCAGAGAAAAAGAATTGAAAGTGTTTCTGGAACAAAATGAATATTTAAGCATTATAAAACACAATAAAAATAAAATTATTTCATGGTATAAACTGAATATAAACAAACACTTATTCACAGTCAATTACTGGAAGAATTATTACCACGAACTGTTCCATGATTGTAGAAGATAATGCCACTTAAAACCCTTTCTTTAAAATAAATAATTTAAAATATTTCTGCTTTCCTCAACACATCTGTATAACAAATTTGTCTGAGACTTGCAAACTCCACATCAAGTTTCAGTGTTTAAATGTAGTTAAATAAGATTCATTTACAAAATTTTAAGATGCAGTGTAAAATATTGGTTGTAACTGAAAGTTGTGGGTTCAAATTCCATTTATAGATATAATTGCTGTTTTACCCTTGAGCAATGTGTATAAATGGTTGTGAAAATTTCTTTAGATAAAAGGATCATCCAAATCAACTAATAGTCATCTGTGATTCTTTAATAATAATAATAATAATAATAATAATAATAATAATTA